TACCTTTACAGTAGTAAAAGCTGATGGAAACCGCCTGAATTAAGTCAGTCATCAAAGTTGGCATCACAAAATGTGATTTCTGGGTTAGCTGACAAGCTTCTGGGTGTGATGTGGTTAGAAAGTCAGGTATCATGCTTGTAATTTCTGTCCAGCTTGTCAGTTCTGAATCTACGGACCAGGTAAATCCACTTTATTCAGGTTTTATAAGATAACTTGACTTGACAAACAAGCTAGCCTGTGCTAGAAGTAGAGGGGAATAAAAAGATTCGTCACCCCGGTCTGTGGCCTTTGATTCACTTTTGAGTGTAAATTAGTAATCGTAGATGAAAGGATTCCTAGGATGGCCCAGTGTTGAAACATGGAAACACATGTGAATATGCATGTGTTACTGCCAACATGCTGAATTTCTCCGCTATGATAAGAATGTTGACACATCTGGGCTTTGGGAGATCATGCAGGCCGAGATGGTATCAGCTGTGGAGGGAGGTGTTGGGACAACATTTTATTAAGGCTTTAGCTGCAGCCTCAAGTAGAATTTACAGAGATGGGGTGCCAATGGGGTGAAATATTGAATCTTGGGAATAGATACATGAATATAATTCCTTGTTTATTTTTACAAAATATTTTAATTAATTTCTAGTAAAAATGTTAAGTGTGAGGAATGAATAAATAAATATAACATCTCTGCCTTCCTCAGTGCTGGTGCCCCCTGTCTTTTGCCCTTAGTTAGTAGGTTAGCAACATTTGGGCTAAGGAATGTTCTGTCTTGGTCAGTCTGTCGGTATAGTTGGCCTGTATTTCTCTCACATGCCCTATGTTTCCATTTGGTTGCCTCTGTTTCTTATTCTGTTTCTGTGCTCTTGCCATGGTGGAGTCACCTCCTTGTCACTCTGCTAGTGACACTGAAAATTATGTTTTTTTTTTTTCCCCAGATGATATAATGATCTTCACTTTTAGTTGGGATTTAGTCATGTACCTATCTTTGTGGAGGGAATGGCAATAGCTCTTATAGCAGATTACATCTTGTGGACAGTTCCATCGTGGGGAGCATGGGTTTGGATACCCCTCCTTAGCCCTGGCTTTTCTCTTCCTATCTCATTCTTGTAGTCTAGTCAATGCTGCAGTGACAGGCTCCACATGGCTATGATGCGGGGGCGGGGCGGGGTGGGGGAAGGGGAGGCCCTTGGCATCAGTCCTTTGCCCTCCCTTCCTGTGCTGGGCCCTCTTTGTCACCATCTCTTTTTCTTGACTCAAGCATGGGGAAGTTGAAAGTCCTTGCAGTTGCAAACAATGAAAGGTCAACAAGACTGAGAGCAAACATCTCTCTCTTCACCCTTCTGCTCAGGGATCGAACGGTCGTGTTTCAGAACAAGTCCACGAGGTCCTAAGAGGGTGGATGAGTTGCCGACATTGCTCATGAGTTCTGTCTAACCCTCTTGAATGGCTGTCACCCTTCCTGTCCCCTCAGCACTCGTCCTAAGGATTGACTCCCCAAATAACGTGCATGCAGCCTCGTGTCAGGGGCATTGTTTCCCAGGGAAGCCAGACTCAGACAATGGGATCTTTCTAGTTTTGACTGGAGAATGTGGGAACTCCTTACAATGGCCTCTTTATTAGAGTGCCTGCGATATCTAGAACAAATGTCGGGCAGAGCATCAGGAGACTCTTCCTAGTTGTTCTTTAGCTTCTGGTAAGTGTTTTAACCATTGGATGACTGGCAGAACCACAGTGAGAATGTGCTATCAGGTTTGAAAGAGTGAGGGATTCTTTCAGCTACTTTCAAGACTGTTTCATGAAGAGCAGAAGAGTGTGTAAATCCAAAGGTACCGTGAGTGGTGGAGAGTATCAAGAAAGGGGTTTTTGTGGGAACTTGGGCAGAAATCCAGGGATGGAGCCAAGATACAAAAGAGACATCTGGGAGGGAGAAAGTGTCCTGTTTTTGTTCATAATGAGGCTCAAAATGAGACACAAAGCTATTATATGAAGTCAGGTAGGGCAGCAGGGGGTTGTTCTTGTAAAAGCCACTAGAATGAGACTGGGGCTCCTTAGTCAGTTGCATCAACCTAATCTGAGAAAGGGAAGTGGGGATCAGTCCCAGCTTAGAGGGGAGCACAGGAGACTGGAGCCGGCGGAGGGCTACAAGCTTGGGCTGGTTACACTCCGTAATTACTCCTTTCGTTGTATGGCTCAGGTTAATCCTGTGACTTAGGTCTCTGTGGTTAGAATCCTGTGACTCAGCCTATAAGCAGCTGTGTATTTTGTGCTACAGTAACGTATAGAAGTTGAAGACCTGATTATATCCTGTCTCTTTGCTGATACCCCAAGGGAACACTTAATGAGTGATGCTTACCTCAAGAAGAAGAAGAATTAACAATAGCTATATTATGCCTATTAATTTATAGTTACTGGTTGCTATAATTAATGCTACTTATGAAAATCATCGTAATTATAGCACTTTACAATTTACAAAGTATGTTCCCATCCACTTTCTTATCTGAGTCTTTAACAGCTCTCTGGCCGAGGCAGGGCAGGTGATGGTCTCTTTACTTTCCAGACGAAGAAACTATGGCTCAGGGAAGCATTTAACAAGACTCTGATGCAGTGTCCTTCCCCTTTGCTGTTCTAGCTATGTGTATGTATGGACGCACCTATCAAATTTCTGCTTATGATCATTTTAGGTCCACACACAGGAAAATCAAACTAACTTGGTTCTCAGTAGCCTTCCTGTGGAGTGGTGGGCCCTGCCTTTTCATCTCATGCCAGCTCTGGCTATGCAGAATGTTCTCCTACATGTCCAAAGTTAAAGAGATCTTTGCCTTTACTTTTTGGAGATGTTCACACTATTGCATTGTGGGTAAAGATAAGACCCAGTGATAGAGACATTGGTATTATTTCTCTAATAAAAATTCATCAACCTTGGTAGTTTAGTCATGCATGGACCAGTGAGATGGATCAGTGGGTAATTGTATTTGCCGTGCAAATTCAATGACCATGACCTAGGTTCTATCCCTAGAGCACACATGGAAAGAATGAACTCCACAAAGTTATCTTCTAAACCCCAGTGCAGGCTATGGCCTTTGGGTACCTATACATGTGCGCCCACACACACACACACCGACACACATACACACACACCGACACACACATACACCTCACACTAAAAATAAATAAAATAATAGAAAATTAAAAAATGAGTATAATATAAAATTAGAAAATTGAGTAAGATTGAAACTCAGATTCTAACAAAACACAGCCTACCTATTATACCACTCTTTTTCCAATGTGGGCTGGGGCAAAAGTTCTGAGGGTAATCTTTTAGTTTCATAAATCTAACCTTTAAAATGTATGCTATGCAGCCTGCTTGCTACTCATTTGAATAAATGTACTCACAGGTACACATACTCTGAACCATTTGATTTCAATTTTAGATCATATATTAGAGTACTTACTGCTTCCTGTTATGCCTCATGGTCCTTACCCAAAAGATGTTGATACAAGAAAGGTACTGAATGAAAAATCCATGGAATATTGACAGCGTCATTATTCATTGATACATTTTTTTAAATGCCAACTGAAGCATTCACACAGTTCACACCCTGAGCAAGACTATGGGGAAATAGTGTGGCCAAAGCAAGTTACACCTTTCCTTTCCTCCATCTTGCATTACTGTGGGCACGAGAAGGGCTGAATAAAAATGAATATAAAAGACAATGTTTGGATGGTACTCGATATGACTAAAAAGTAAACAGTGCAGGCTAAGGGGGGGAAATGACAAACTGTTCTCAGCAGTTTGTCCCAAGTGGCAAAACCACAGGATGCCTAGTGTAGTCAACGTCCTAGCAGGTACCCATAGTTAAAAGAGGGTGCACATACAAGTATGTAAGGTGATCGCCTAGGATAGGGCCTATGGAACTGTTGCCCAACTTTCAGCACACATGTAGCTGGTCCTTGACGTTTGCCTGATGTAAACCCAGGTCTGTGGGGGCTTAGCTTGTGCTGACCAGTACATCAGACTCCAGTCATGTTACCTTGGCACATTTAAATAACTTCTAAGACCCAGGCAAAGTGGCATGGTGGGGAAAGTACTCAAAAAAAGGAAGAAGTCAGATTCTGCATAGTTCCTGATGGTGTATGTTCTATAGGAAGTATGTTTGCTTCAAAGTTTGTAAGTTTAATACCTCGCTCTTCTAAACCCAAGGAACACCTCCTTGTTTGTCTCCTTGCTTTGAGCTGTAGGCAAACTTTTTGTTTGCTTTTCTCAAGTATGCTCACAGTTGCGAAAAGTGGCCTGTGGTAATACAAATGCTCTCCATTCTCCTGTTCATTCTGAGGGCAAATGACATGGACCATTGGTGGATAAGTCTGTTGCTACCCAGCTCCCTCACACATACTCATGATGCCTGCCTCCTGTGCAGCTCTGTGGCCACAGTCCTAAGTGACCTGCCTCCTGTGCAGCTCTGTGGCCACAGTTCTAGGTGACCTGCTTCCTGTTGCCACAGTCCTAAGTGACCTCTTTCTACTTCATGTTTTATGAGCTCTGCTTGGGCTCCCCTCATGTGTACATGTCTGCTACCACTGACAGATAACAAATAGTTTCATGATTGATGGTACCAAGCGTTGACTTTTCTTATGGGACACAGTTTCCCCACCTTACCCATTGTGTCTCCAGTAAACCATCAATGATTTCTTAGTGCAGAGGGCCTCCATGATTCTGATCCTACAGAGCAGGCATTGGGGCATTAATTTCTTGTACTTAAATCTTCATCAGAGTGTCTAAATATATGACGTTAGAAAAAAACATTTCAAGTTTTTTTTTTCTGTTTTCTTATCTGTCAAAAAGTGATAATTTTCTTCCTGCCCACCTTATTAAGATTTGATGAAAACTTAAAAAAAAAAAAGGCATATGGAAACAGTGCAAAAGAGCAAATTATAGCATGAAATATTTGAATTCATGCTGTTATCTCTGGATGTTCATTGAATTTTAATGTGTATGTTTTTAGCAGGGAAATCCTGGAGGCAAGACCCTGGAGGAAAGGCGGTCCAGTCTGGATGCCGAGATCGATTCCTTGACCAGCATCCTGGCTGATCTGGAGTGCAGCTCTCCCTATAAGCCTCGGCCCCCACAGGTGAGTACTTTCCACAACATTGCTCCAGCCCTGGTCTCTACTCTCTTGGGAAAATGAAGTGTGTCTTAGAGCCTTTCATGCTTTTCTCCAGCTCCTGAAAGCCAGTGGTCCAAGATGCACCTCACCTCCTAATCTGACAAGAGTTCGTTGTGTATCATAAGTCACAACTTTCCGGTACCCTCTCCCAAGTGCATCCATTATAGGCATGCACCACCATGCAAAGAACAGTTAGTCTTTCTTAACTCTCGGCTCATGCTGGATAAGCAGCGGTAACTTTTATGAGTGTGTATTGTCGGCATCTGCCTTCAAAACGACCCAGTGGCGCTTCACAGGGCTGTTATAGGAAAGCACAGCCCATTTCGTTGCTGTGCCCTGTTTCTGAACCTGTCTTTGTGGATATCCACTTACACATTGCTGCAGTCTCTACATATATGACTTGGCATGCATGTCTGTATAAGGTTCTAGCGAGGGGCTATCTTTTGTAAGACAATTCCTTATGTTGCCTGTTGAGGAAGCATCTATCTTCGTTGTTGCTGTTAGCAGTAATGATGAATGCTACGGAGGACTTAAGACTCTTAACAGTTTGATTCCCACACTAAAGTGAAAGACTTTTTTTTTTTTTTTTTTTTTTTTTTTATTTTTCGAGACAGGGTTTCTCTGTGTAGTTTTGGAGCCTGCCCTAGATCTCACTCTGTAGCCCAGGCTGGCCTCGAACTCACAGAGATCCGCCTGGCTCTGCCTCCCAAGTGCTGGGATTAAAGCCGTGTGCCACCACTGCCCAGCTGAAAGTCTATTTTTCTATCCTTTCCCCTCCTCCCCTCTGAGATTAGGTCTTGGCTGGCCTAGAACTCATTGTATAAACAAGGCTGGCTTTGAACTCATAGAGCTGCCTCTCAAGTGCTGGGATTAAAGGCATTTGCTACCACACTTAGCCTTTTGGAAGTTTGTGAGTGGGTTATACTGGTACAGAAGCCTGGATATGACAGATTTTCCCCAGATTGACAGGAACTAAGTGGAATCAATTACTGTGTTTTTAGTGTAAACGGAGCACTGTTCAAACTCCCTTTCCTATTTTTGCTTACTCTAGAGCACGGATATTTTTCTGCATTTTCTTTTATTATCTGCATTTTTGGAGCTGGTTTTCTGTCACTGGAGAGCACCCTACACCTGGATAAGTATTGAAAGGGTCAAATATGTTGCAGGGCTCTGTGTTCTCAGAAGCCAGGTAACAGGATTCCAGATGCCAGAGTTGGTGAACAGGAGCCATTGGATGGTCCCTGACCCTTTAACAGATTCCAGAGCAGTCTGGCCTCTGTGCTGTCAATCACGCACTGCTTATCTTCATTGAAGATTGAAGTGTCTGTTTTAGACACGTCCCCACCACCTTCCCTACTCATAAAATGCGATTGGCAGTTGTGTTGGGGACAAAAGGCAAGACAGACAAAAGATGGACGCTTGTGTGTCTGGGCTGGCTCCACCGATCTCCACCGGGCACGTGGACTTCATTCCTTAGTCATTGCTGCACTTTGGGTAGAGAGCAGGCATGGCGGCTCTTGTGAGGAATTGAGAGGAAAAGGACAGTGTGTTTTGGGGAGCAGAGTCAAAGGCCTTGGTAGTTGTTGACTAGGAGCTCCTGGCACTGTGTGAGATAGACTGCAGCTGCTCTGGCAGGGGCACAAGGACGACAGTGATAGATTTTTAAGAAGGTGGTGGCGCACGCCTTTAATCCCAGCACTCGAGAGGCAGAGCCAGGCGGATCTCTGTGAGTTCGAGGCCAGCCTGGGCTACCAAGTGAGTTCCAGGACAGGCGCAAAGCTACACAGAGAAACCCTGTCTCGAAAAACCAAAAAAAAAAAAAAAAAAGAAAAAAAAAAAAAAAGAAAGAAGGTGGCAGAATCTGAACAGTCTTGCCCAAAGGCTCGTGAATCTAGCCAGAGACTTGGTAGATCTGTGTCAGTGCAGACACAGGCCAGGGTGGGGCCTGCAAACATCTGAGACGATGTATGGGAAGCCACTCCACCAATGACTTGCCTTGACTTCAAGGTCGTGGATGAGTTTGGATGCTAAACTGAGATTTTAGCTTGTCAGTTATAGAGAGTAGACAGTTCTTGAAGGATCTCAAACAGGGGGAAGCTAAAATGTATTCTGAACAGAAATGTTGAAAACAAGACCAACTCTGAAGGTGCAGGGGGAGAGACTGAACCACCTCCTAGAAATGATGCTTACATTGTCATCTGACTTTAACTAATTTTATAATTCCAACCAATGAAATAAATAATACCATATGCCTAGTTTCTCAGGATAGCAAATCCATTCCCTGCCACTAGACCCAGCTACCTTCTACAAAATGCTTCTATGCCCTCAATTTAAGCAAGGATTTTTTTTTTTTTTGTCTGTTTTTCACTCCTGGAGAGATTTCTTGTTTTACCCTCCAGTTTTCTTCTGTTGAAATTTTTTTTGATAATATTGTAATTACAATTTACTCTCCCCTAACTCCTCTGAGAGTCTTTCCGCTTCTCCTCCCATCTGATTCCATGCCCTTTCTCTCTCTCCCTCCTTAGAAAGCAAACAGGCATCTAAAGAGTAATAATAGAATTAAGACAAAGCAAAAACAAACAAACTGGGATAGAGCAAAACAAACAAAGATAAAGCACAAGAAACACATATAGATGTAGAAACGCACACATTCATACACACGAGAGTCCCATAAAAACACAACACCGGAAGTTATAATATGTATGCAAAGGACATATGAGTCGAGAGAGAGAGAGAGAGAAATGCCCCATCCAAACATTATGAGACAAAGAAGCTTCAAAGATGTGTGGGAAAGACTCTGCTGGGCGCTTTCTCCTTGACGTGGTATTTCTCCTTTAGTTCTGTGTCCACACATGCCTCCCATAAAAACTAGTGCATTTTGACTGGTTCATTTCAGCTGTGGTCTTACTGTCTGAATAGTCTTCCTGTACACACAAACTCATAATCACTGACAGTGTGGACAGCAGTTTGCTGATTGTGAAGCACATACACATGGCTTCTCTCTTGAGCCGTCTTGTCTCTGAGGCCCAGGTAGTGCACTTGTTTTATGGACAGAGCAGTCAAGACTTTGGCGGTGAATGACTTAGGTTTGTAACTACTGCGTCAATACAGCTGGACCCAAAGCTTAGACTTTTGCTTCATTGTGTGTTCTAAAACCAGATTAAGACTTTGGTCTTTATTTATTTTTAATTGTTTCACTACTGGGAAAATCTCATGAAATCAGTCACACAAGTGACATTGTTCCTTAGGAATCGCTTTCCCATTTAAAAAAAAAAAAGCAAAACATTCATGAGGTTAAAATAATAATTAGGATGACCTCTAAGTTAAATAATTTCATAATTAGGTTGAAGTCTCCTTTCAGTGTGTCTATTCCATTCTCAAATCAAAGCTTGGTCTAGTCTATTCTTTTCAATTATTCTAATTTAGGAAAGCAAGAGTTAATTAGCTCGAGTTCCTCCAGAATTATCTTTACTCCTGTGGAACTGAAGTAGATGCGTTAGTATTTATTGGCTAACATAATTATATGCTGTGAGAACAATAATCACACACTTAAATATCAAAATACGTGCCAAGAGCAGATGATGTCTGCTCTAGACTGTGTTATGTTGCCACTAAAAGGCACCTGAAATGTCCTCGAAGAATAGACTTTCATATCTAACTTTGATGTTGTCTATTTTTGAGGCAAACCAAATTTCAAATTTAAAACCTGGTGAGTCACCTGACCACCTCAAGTAGGTTACTAGGTCTCTGGTCCCTCACTTCAAGCGCTCATTGCATTTTCCTAGTTTGTGTCTGAATCACCTTCAGATGGCTACTTTGACTCATGATCTGCTGAAAATGATGCATCATGTATAATGCTTGTGCAGGAAGAGGTCCTGGAGAGCACATTCACATAACGACTTTGAAAATGCCGTGCTCTTGACACATTTTACCAAACCACTTTTTTCTCCTTCTTTTGAAAGAAGCATCCCCCCTCTTAAAGTTGCCCAATGTTAGTTCTGCTTACTCTCTCTTTGTGTCTCTTCGGGCAATGTGGCTGAACTCCATTTATTGAAAATATAAAGGTGTGTGCGACTATTCCCTGCTCTAGAGAATTCCTAATCTTTTATGGCAGAGAGGTCATCTACAGCAAATGAAGAAGGACCTCACTATGCTCTTTATATTGCTGTGTGCCTTACCATGTGCTGAAGCTGTTCAGGGACATTATAAGGAAAAATCAGCATCCTGCCTTTGAGAGTTAGGGGGACCCCACCACTCCGGCAGCCATGTGTGCTCTTGGCTGTATCTGTTCTGGGGAGGACACCTAATTTCAGAAGTTACAATAGTGATGAAAGTGATCATCTTGTTTGAAGCGTAGATTATTTCTAACGGCAGTATAACGTATGTGGGCTCCAAAGGAGAAGGACAGATTTCAAAAACTCAGATGAGCTTAGGACCTAGTACCAGTCTCACTGCTTAAGACTTTCAATGTAAAGAGGAAAGTTTTATTAGGGAGAGCAACAGTATTTCTGGCTACAGTGGATTTAGATGTAATACCTTTAGTGAAGTTTACATCATGAACACACACACACACACACACACACACACACACACACATTTTATATATACACATACATATGTATGTATGCGTATTTATATCATATACATAGATAACATGTATATATAATGTTTGATATATCATATAACCTATAAAATATTATTAGTAAAGTTTACATGGTGAATATAATATAAGTCATATGAACTATAAATATCAATATAAAAATACATTCATCAAAGTGAATATCATATATATTATAAGTCATATGAACTATAAAAATTAATATAAAAATACATTTGTCAAAGTTTACATGATTAGTACATACATAATATATGTCGTATAAACCATATATGCAAAACACCTGTTGCAAAATTTACATGATGGGCCGGGCGGTGGTGGCGCACGCCTTTAATCCCAGCACTCGGGA